TCGCAGTTGATGCCCTGCAGCTCAGGGTGAGCGGCCTTGCGTACCTCCGGCAAGAATTAGGAGAGATTGCCCTCGTCCAGACAGGCCGTGTGATTCCGAATATGAGAGTCTGGGATGACGAACTTGCAAGACGCCAGCCGTCGATGCATATCACCAGCATCCGCCCGAACGGGATTTCGGAGGAAGCGTGCAAGACCACAGGCGAAGTCGTACACCAGGAACTTCTTCTCCGGCAAGATCTGCAGCGCCTCCGCAAATGCATAGGCCACCTGAGGCAAACTCTCGGAGCCAACCGTGTGAGAAACGTGTGCCACGTGACCGCAGGGAAGCACAACGCAGAACACCCCAGCGTACTTGCGGACGGCGAGGTGTCGGCGCTCGTCTTTGATGCAGCGGCAGCCCCCCGGCAAGCAGTCGGAGGGCGTGAGCTGCAAGGTCGGATTCGGAGCTGCGTCGTCGGCCTCGTCCACGTTCTCTGCGTCGTCTGCAACCTCCGTACCCAAGAGACCACGCGAGTCATACTGCTTCAGGCGAAGGGGGTGGATCTCGCTGGCTGCAAGCCAGTCGTTCCGGCCGCCGCCCGCAAGATGGAACTCGAGCTGACCTCCGCGAAATCGGTGGGACTGCACCTCGGGCCCAGGGCTCAGAGCCGTGGGCCGGCAGTTGATGACGTGGGCAAAAAAAACTTTTTGCTCGGGGCCGCTGGCAACAGCCTGTAAACAGACGCATTTGCAAAGTCTCACTTTCTCGAAAGCTGCTGGAGCGTTCGTTGCAAAGAGACGTCGTCAGCTTCATTCCGCCATCACCTGTGAGTACTGCGTTTCTGCACCCAGTGCAAGAGTGCTGGCGGCTTGCTGCGAGCCAGGCATCGATGCAGTCCACACGAAGATCACACTCCATGCCCTGGAACGCCGGGTAGGTCAGAGAGAGCGTCTCGTAGAGTAACCAACTGTGCTCCAGCACACGTCGGATCTCCTGCGAGTCCAACTTGGTTCCAGGGCTCATGTCTTCGAGCACTTTCGCGAGCCCGGAAAAGGACGCTCTCAGATGCAGAAGAGCAGAGGTCATGAAGGACAGGTAGTCCACATGCAAGGCCACTTTAGCGGGCACGAGGTTCGCTCAATAGCCTTCGAAGTCGACAGCAAAACGGGGAACAGACGGAACATGTTGGCGCATGCACCCGGGAGCTCGAGGGCATTCTGCTCTACACTGAACGGCAGAAACTTGGAGTAACTCCAACCCGGACATGCAACGATCAACCCCAAGAAGAACTTGCCAAGTTGCAACTGCATCCTCTCGGAGGCGCATGCGAAAAATGAACCAGTCGGAGACCTTCGGGTCGCACACCAGCTCGGGCAGTGCGTTATCCGGAGGACAGGCCCAGCAGCCCCGAAACACGGCGGCAGGATGGACAGACCTTGCTGCGCACGTGGAAGATGACCAGCCCCCGTGCGTAGCAAATCCCGTGAACCCTGGTGCGCGTCTGCGCGACCTGGAGCCGCACTTCGCCGGGGCAGGCATGGCAGGCGGTGACGGGGCTCAGACACTCGTCCTGCATCATGAAGCCACGGCAAGAGCTTTGAACAGCAGGCGGCTGCGGCAGGTACAGCCAACAGAAAAGCGCAAAGGAAGCGACCCAGCCAATGCTGTCCACCTCCCTCCCCGTGGCGGTGAACGTCCCGCCCGGAACACGGACTGCAGAGAGAGTGCAGTAGCATATGCACCGACATGTGCAGCACGGTAGCTCCATGCACAAATGCAAGAAGTCGTCTATGTGAAAGAAGATCGAGACGAGAAGAACCTTTTCGCTCACGCACGCATCTCCCTCGGAGCACCACTGTAGCATTATACAGAATGCCGCAGTACTCTCCAGCACGCTTCCTGTCCGTCTGTAGATGACGAAGCACGCCGAAGAGCCGCCCGCACCCCAGACACGACACCGCAGCTGCTGCCGGCTCGGGTGGCCCAGCAGCGGCGATCTCGATGTTCAAAAACAAAGACGTCTTGGTCAGGCATTGTCAGCCGGGGCATCACCTCGTCGCGGACGCTTCTGTGCCGGCTCGCATGGCTGCGTCGCGGCTTGAAGTTTGACCCACTTCACTGCTCCCACTGGATGCGAGTACGGCTTGGGCTCCTCGTACCAGCGGGGCGACCCTAACACCCAGGCCCACCAACGTTGGTAGTTGAACGCTTGGATGTCGGCGACGGTCAAACCGTGCTTCGCCATGTTCTGCGGCAGCATCATGAAGTCTGTGTGGCGGCCATTCGCGACCAGAGTTCCGCCTGCGTCCAGTGCGCCCACCGCAAGACAGTCCAAGACGTCGACCTCGCCATAAAGCAACCCTGTACCCGAGCATGCTAGCGCGATCCGGCCACGACGCAGGCAGCGAGAGCTCCGCATCTCCCAGATTTTGCCGCCGTCAAGGATGCGAGTGATCCACGGCTCCTTGATCAGAAGAGCTACGTCGGGCAGATCCGCAGTCTCAGGATCAGCAGACATGGCTCCAGGTCGGCGTTTTCGAGTAGTGGAGGGTCTGGTAGGGAGGCGAAGCAGGAAGGCGCGGGGAGAAAAGCTGAGGCTACGTCTGGGCTGCTTGCGCAGAAAAGAGCAGTGGGCGTGACTCATTTGCAAGTTTAAACATGGAGGCTGGGACACAGCGTCTGTCGCAGCTCGACCTCAGCTCAGCACAAACGACCAATTGCAGCCAAGAACTGGACATGGCACGCACCCCGGACAAGTCGAGCAATTTCTCCCCACGCAGCAGAGCGTGCGCGAGCAAGAGTTAGAGAACTTCGCAGCGCCGCAGGACCCGGCGGTGTGCGCGGCCGCGCTGCGTGCGCAAGACCATGTACGATGTACAATATATTGCTGTTCACGGCCGCGCAAGCGGCGCTAGCATTGATTGGAGTGCTAACCAGCCACAGCTGCGCACGAACATTTGACAAGCAAAAGACGGCACAGGGCATCGACTGTGCAAGTCCATCGTGCACATGCTCCATAACTGCGCTTGCTGCAAGACGTACTGAATACATATTATACTGAACATGAGTCCTGAAGCAGCATTTCTTCGAGTCCGGTCTGTGCGTAACGGCATAGAACTCTGCCGCCGGGCACGTGTGGCAAGGGGCAAGCCTATATTATAAAGGGCAGGCTCCAATGAAAGCAGCTTGCATCGAACCTCCAAGAGGATAGCTCGGACTTGACCATGCCAAGGTCGTCTACAACGTGGAAAGACAGCAGCAGCCGCGCCATATCCGTGGACGCAAGAAGCTGCGACAGCGACATATGGGCACAGAAGGGCAGAACCATTGCACGGCAAAAGGGGCGAAACCAAACTGCAGAGAGAGTGCGGTAACACATGCACAGACATGTGGCGCACAGCAGCTGCACGCACAAAACCAAGGAGCAATGTATCGAAAGAAGATCCCGACGAGAAGACGACGCTCCTCTCTCAGCGGCAAGCCGTGGACAACGTCGAGGCTAGCGTCAAGAAGCATATACATGCTCAGCACAAAACAGATACATGCAATCACCTCTTTTCGTCGAGAGCCTCAGCTGAGGGGCGTATTGTGAGCTCGAATACATGCCTCAGTCACATGTGCTGTCTCTGCAGAGCTTTTGTGCCAGTTGTGATTAACTGACTGTTTTGCCAAAACGAAACGATCTGGCTCAGGCCCTTTCAAGCTGCTCAGTGCCAGTGGCGCACGGCAGCAAGTAGGCAGCGTAGCTCTCGAGTTGATTGCCTGCGGTCGGTCGTTGACGCAACGGTGCCTAGGGACCTGGAGAGGTAGGCTCGCGAAGCAAAAGACAGCTGCCGCTGCATGCTTGTGAGCTTTACTGGCAAGACCGTTTGCGATGCTTCACGAAGTAGTAGTACGAGCACTACTGCTACTAGTACTACTACTACTACTACGACGACGACTAGTACTACTACTGCGACTGCTGCTACTACTACTACTACTACTACGACGGCGACGGCGACAACGACGACTTCACTACTACTACTGCTGCTACGACTGCCGCTACTACTTCCTTCCTTCCTTCCCAATCGCGAACATGCGTCCATACTAGTACTTTATTACTACTATATACTACTACTACTACTACTACTACTACTACTACTACTACTACTACTACTACTACTACTACTACGACTACTACTACGACTACTACTACTACTACTACTACTACTACTACTACTACTACTACTACTACTACTACTACTACTACTACTACTACTACTGTTACCACCACCACCACCACTAGTACTAGTACTAGTAGTAGTACTACTACTACTACTACTACTACTACTACTACTACTACTACTACTACTATTACTACTACTACTACTACTACTACTACGACTACTACTACTACTAGTACTACTACTGCTACTACCACTAGTACTAGTACTAGTACCGGCAGCATCACTGCTACTACAACCATTGCGACGACTACTAGCACGATTCCAATCTGCCGCCGAGCGTTGATTTTCGAACGACATCGATTCTCGAAAGGCGCCCTTGTGAGGCCGAAGCCTACGTACTGAGGACAAGTCTTCAACAAGCTCTGCCGGACTGCCTGCGTGTTTTTCCGTCTTCCTAAAGCGCAAAGCTCCGGTTTCGATGCCGCAGCGAAAGCCGTGACTAGAGACAAGCTTCGTCGCTGCCGCAACAAGGAATCCTCTTTTGAGATTCCTAGAGGCCGGACGGTTTACGGCTCAGAGCACTGTATCCTCTCAACAAAATATACACTCACCAATATTCAATACGGGCTTTATCTACACCCACCAAAAAGCAACAGAAACGGTACTTCAAGAGCCATCGCCCGGCACGGAGCTTAGGTTCGCAAAACCTGTACAGCATCTGCCAGGGAAAGGCCTGGCGTCTCCGGTGCGGAGGAGGTCGAAAGGAGCATGCGCGTGGTTATTGGCGAAGATTCACACTATGTGGGATACCGGGTAGCGACCCCACATATATATGGAGAAGGCTCCACTGGGAGACCTAGTCTTGGATTAAAGTTCCGGTCTCGCGCCTAGGCCTCGTTATGGGCTTGGGCGTATCCTTTCGGGTGTATGGTTCAGGCTACAAGGTTTAAGCGTTAGCTCTTTTTTTTGAGGTTTATATGAAACGATTTTTTGGGGGTTTATATTACAGGAACAGGTTCGTGCCAGAAGGTCCGTAGATGTTGCAGGAAGTGCTGAGGCATTCTACGAGGAAGTCTGCTCGGATTAATCGGGTGTAGTCGAAATAGATGACACGAGTGTATTGCCCTGAGTAGGCGACTCCTCAGTAGAAGACCCAAAACAAAAAAGCCGAGTTCTCGGAAACTACCAAATACCCTGGCAAGCCCTAAATCCGAACCCTCAACCGCCAGGCCTAAACCCCGACCATTATAAGCACGGATAAGACCCCGCGAGCCTCTGCCGAATTGCTTGGGAAGTGTGGTTTCGGGATTAGCGTCTCAGGGTTTAAAGAGGTTTTAGGAGCTATCGGGCTTGATCTTTAGGGATTAGGGGGCATAAAGGTGGCGGTTTAGGGACCAACGTGTAGCCTAACGGGTTTGCGGCCTAACTTAGGGGGGTTAATATACACTAATACCATGTTTGGAGTTCCTTTGCATAGTTAGGGCGAAACTACGGTCGAAGACATCGTTTCCAGGGCTTAGTTTCTTGTTCCAGGCCGAAAAACAAGCAACTTGGTTCGGAGGACGAGACGTCGAGAGCAACTGCAGCTTTGAGAAGTGGTTCGCAGCAAGCAAGCCGAGGAATGTGGGGGAGGAAGAAGTTTCGGTGCCCTGACCCCAGAGCCCCAAACCTTAAATGCACACCCCTTAACCCTCAAACTCTAAGCCGAAGACTTTACGTTTGAAAGAGATCCCTTCAGCCTTCAGCGTAGGAAAACTCTCAAACCTTAAGCCGAAAACTCAAACTGCTTCGGGCTCGCCACCCAACAGGCCACCAAGATTGCCAGGCTTTGGCCTGAGCTGAATAGGACGCACGAACGCTGCGCGGAGTTCTCGGAAGAGCTCCTCGCTCGAGGAGTCAGAGAACGCAACTGGGCCCCACAGGGTTTCCAAGTGCTTCTTAACAGGCTACAGTCATGACGCAATCGAAGCTTACTCAAAGCCCGCGGCAACGTCTGCGGGGAGCCGGAAACTCAGCTCAGCAAGCAACCCTCCCTGATGGAAAACTTTACTAGAGATGTACGGTGTAGGGTTTAGGGTTTAGTTCAGGTCACATTGGCACCACTAACGGTCACCTCGAACCATCCCGTACATGGTATCCTGCATCCGCTGCCTGTGTCGAGTAACTTGCAGACCTCCTTGATACCTTTTATACTATACCCCCCACATTCAGCTGCGTATATCAGGGATCTGACAAGCCCCCCCCCCCCGAAAACTAGAGAGGCGATCCAGTCGCCCCCAGCTTAGGGCCGCAAAGCTGCAGCCTTCAACTCCCAGCCTGACACCCTAAAGCACTGCAGACAGCGACGGGGTTGATTACTCAGGAAGCTTGGACTGCGACGCGGAATCTAGGGTTTAGTGGTTCAGGGCTCAGGGGTCCTAGGTTTAGGGTCTAAGGTCGAACATCGAGAAACCGCGAACCCTAGATCCGAACCCGGAAACCCTCAAGTCTATCAATCCTCAAGCCTAAGCTCAGGGCTCCAGGTGGAAGTCTGAAAGCTAAAGTCGAGGGGCTGTCACAAAAGACTCTCTACTGTTATTTACGCGTCGGTCTGCGAGAAAATCTGCTAAGCCGCTTGCAGCAAAAGGGCCGGACATCAAGCTGTGAACCCAAGCCCTTCACTACACAGTCGGTTCCGACTGGCACAAGAATTCATTAGCACCGCGAAGCGTTTTGCGGCGGAGCAGCCGGCTGAAAGGGTGTCCCATCGCGGGGGCATCACACAGCTGCTGAACTCAGACCCTTCACACCCCAAGCCCATCACACGAACCCTCAACTTTGAACAACAGAAAACTAAGCCTCCGACCCGAAATTAATCCTAACGGTGCGGCTTTTCTTGCCGTTTACACGAGTCACTTGGTCACAAAGTCGCAACCCCAGCAGCCCAAAGCTTCGAACCAAACAACAACCAGCACCTCTCCAATCCCGAGACCGCCCTGCTGCCGTGCATAAGTAGTCGAGCGGCCTACAGCCACATCCGGTCGCGGATTAGGCGCGCAGCAGGCTCCGCGCCGGCCGCCGGGTCCCTTTGCTTGGGGTTTGGTGTTTCGGAGAATGTGCAATTTACAGTGAGCAACCCCCCACTCACCCCTCTTCGTCTAGGGTTCAGCTTTCGGGGGTCATAGCTCCGTGACGGCTTTGAAAACGTGAGAGCTTGCAAAGGCACCCAACTGACATGTAACATGAAACGCCACGTGTGTATCAAAGGCTGAAGCTTAAACCCGGAGTCCCTTGACCGACCCGTGCCGTACATCGCCGTCGGCGAGCCTTCTCGGTCCTGTCGACCAGCAGCAGCAACGTCACCATCCGAGGC